GATGAATCTGTTTCCTTCTGATAGATGGGCCGAGATCTGTCAAATATATAGAACAAACACATAGAAGGGAAAAGACTTTATCTGATTAGACTGGGCGAGAAGTTCTTTTAAGAGCCATGGAACAAATCTCTAAGAGCAAAAGTTTCTTCTGATAATAGAAACCCCAGAGTTACAATCGATGTGGCTTCCTGACAGCACCAACACCCGCTGAGTAGGGGTAGAAGTTGAATGGTCGATTGCTTTGTAGGGGAAATAAAATGCAAAAATAAATAAAAAGGATAAAAGCCATGAAGATCAAGTCATTAAATTTTAGCAAATATCCCTGACTCCTACATCCTCATTAAATGCACAAAGCAAGGAGTTACAACTCTAACAATTATTCTCTCTCTTGCAACAGAGCAAATTAAAGTTTAGCAGCTGATACTGCAGTTTATCATCTCCCATGGGTCCTGAGGGTCAGGAATTTGAAAGTGATTCAGGTGGGTGGTTCTGCTTCAGGATCTCTCAATTAGTTGCGGACCAGCTATTGGCCACACTTTGTCATCTCTGAAGACTTGACTGGATTTGAAGATTCACTTCTAAGTCACTTGTGTGGCTGTGGGTGTTAGGGCATCTCCATCTGGATCACATGCTGTGGCTGTTCATGTCTTGGCTTCTTTCTGAACTATTCAAGAGCATAAAGTCACAGATGGGTACTACCGCCTTTCATAACCTAGTCTCAGAAGGGGCATGTGATTACTTATTCTGTATTATATTTGTCACACTGACCCGCCCTGGTACAGGGTGAGAGAAAAATGTACAAGGGAATGAACATCAGGAGGCACAGATTATTTGGGACCATCTTGGAGACTGGCTGTCATACCTATTAAAGGGACTTTTCATTGAGAGCTCACAATTTCTAGCTTCTACATTGCTCATTCTTTTGCTTAGACTTGCCAGTGCTGAGGAAGGACATGTGAACCTTGCTAAAATGTGGTAAGATTTAAATATGTTTTCTAGAAACCATTGTCTAAACATTTTCTATTCTTTTATTTTGGAGAAGGAAAGGTCAGGTGTGTGTGTGCGTGCGTGTATGAGAGAGAGAGAGAGAGAGAGAGAGAGAGAGAGAGAGAGAGAGAGAGAGAGAGAGAGAGAAACGATCAAAATTATTTTTTCTTCTAGATGAACCTAACCTTTTCATAAAACTCCTTTTTCCCAAATCCACAAGTCAAGAACCTCTGTTAACTCTCCACTAAACAAGGACCTTTTCTGAACTTCAGAACAGGAGCTATGGGGAAGAGCTTTCAGGCCTGCTTAGGATTTGGGATTTTTCATATATAGGGTATGCTGTCCGAAGTCTTTACCCACTAACTGCTTCAGTAGCATCAAGATCAGCCAGTTCAATTCCTGAACACAGGAAGATTTTTTTTTCCACCCATTGTGGAATCATGAAAGATCTGAATGAACTTACTGTAGAGTAACTTACTACAGTAAGTTCATTTCCTGCCCAATGTCAGGAAAACAGGGCCCCGGGGTAAGGTAGAAACAGGAAGCTAGGTTATGTATTTGGCTCCATTAGAATTTTCTTGGTTGAAACTCTACTCCCCCTCCAGTTTCCTTCTTTTGCATACATGCTGGGGTTATTGTACAAGCCATTCATACATTTGTATTTGTAGAACATTTCTTCTTTTTTTTTTTTTTGAGAAATTCTACTCCTTGGGAGATTAAAGGAGTGAGTCATACTAGTCAACCTGTTTAGTAGATTGTAGCAATGAGGCAAGGGGAGAGAAGTGTCTAGAAGTGGGGAGAAGGGTGGTCATGCAGACGTAAAGGTGACAGAGAAAATTGGATTTGCTGACACTACTTCAGATTCTTTCTAATAGAGGTGCAGCCTTTCCAGCTGCCTAGCACCTTGATGGATGCTGCATGAGCAGTGGGAAACACCAAAGTGCTCTCAAGTACCTCTAGGAGGGAATGGTGGTGGTGGGCAGTGAGAGCAAGAGAGAGCCCTGGTGGGTGGTGGGCATCTCTATGGGGAGCTGTGAGGTTGTCCATGTGATGTACAAATCTATAGCATCACATTGCATTTTAGATGTAGATGGATTTGGTGTAAATAGATTTCTCATGCAAAGTAGAGAAGAGGCTCTCTCCTGTTCTTCCCAGCAGAGCAGAGATGGGGCTGCTGGACACAGAAGCTTGAGACACCAGGGATCACGCAAAAACAAGTCTCCTAGGAATTAGCAGACATAAGTGGGACTCTGGGTTTTCACAAGTTGTGAACTGCTGGTGTCTGAACAAATTATTTCTAGTTTTTCAAGGCACAGGGAAGACCAGCTAACATCTTGTTTTTGTCAATTTAGTGAGGTTAAAAGATTTTTTTGATTCATTAATTATTGTTCATATTAATAGAGTATAGTATGACCTCTCAACACACACATTGCATGAACTGATAAAATTGGAATAATTAGCATTTTGGACAATAATAAAGCTCATTTTAGTTTGGGTGAAGATGTCTTCTACATGTGGACTTACTCCAAACACAAACAAGCACTTGCAAATGTGTATGTACACACACACACACACACACACACACACACACACACACACATTCCAGTCATTTCTTTGCTGTTTAGAAGCACCAACTTATTGTCCTTATCTCAAATGAATGAGTTCGACTAATTTTGATCTCTTTCATGTCATTGAATGGTGAGTTGTCACAGATGTTGTTCTGCCTTTTGGGGAAAGAATTGCCTTTTGTTGGTTTGGGGTCATTTTCATCAAGAAGAGTTACCTCCAAGGTGTACAGTCATTTTAATGGGTAGGTCATAGTTGGGGTGCATCTTTCGAGATCTTCAGAACTGGAGAGAGATCCTGCGAGGGGCTGGAGCTAGAATCTTCTTGCCAAATATAATGCAAGAACAGGCATCTTTGAATCTGTATCTTGCAGACCCTTTGCAAATAGAAACTTCCTGAAGCCACCCATGGAGCTTCTCAGTTTCCTCACCTCTTCATTCAAATGTGACCTCTTCTTCTTAACCCTAGATGACCTGTCTGGATGTTGGCCTCCTGGATTTAACAACACTGCTGGCAGCATGGAAAATACCATTTTTAATCTTGATAGCAATCAAGTACATAAATGTGAGTGATAAAGTCTTTTCGAAGGATAAATTCCACAGCAGAGATCATTCAGGTTTCTAAACGCTGCTATCGTAACACTTATATGATGCTAACAGATATCAGGAGATATAGAATTAGGGAAGAATTATAGCTCAACACACCAGAAAGATGGAAAAATCATTCAATCTTGAGTAAAGACTTAACAGTCTCTTAATAATCCATGCTAATTTTTTAAAATACTCTGATTCTTGAAAAGTTCTCAGTTTAAATCACAAATTTGCAGATTTATAAAATGCTACATTTCCCCCGCCCCCTTGTTTTTCATAGTCTTAAGTTCCTAGAGCTCAGGAATGAGTCTCCTCATCTCTTTCATCTCTAATAGAGCTGAAAGATACAATGTTGGGCACATCAATAAGAACTGTTTGATATATTGCTTGTGCATATTTTCTCCCATTCCCTAGCAGTGGAAAACAAATGACAGAGGACCTCATATGAAGATTTTATAGTAGGTAATCGGAATCATCATTTTTCCTTACTATATGAGTTTTTTTTTTTTTAATGCAAGGTGCCCATAATTAAGGGGAAGAGATGATTTGGGTTCCTTACGGGAACTGGAGTCTTGATACAAATACAAAAGTAGAGAGACTGAAGGTGGAGTGTTGTCCTAATTTTGTTATTGACTTGACATAGATGTGGCATTTAGATATGGTACATATTATCAATAGTACCATCGGGGTTTTTTTGTTTTTTTGGTCCTGGGGATTGAACTCAGAGGTACTCAACCACTGAACCACATCCCAGTCAGTTCTATTTTGCATTTTACTTAGAGACAGGGTCTCACTGAGTTGTTTAGTGCCTCACTGTTGCTGAGTATGGCTTTGAACTCCCAATCTTCCTGCTTCAGCCTCCCAATCTGCTGGGATTACAGGCGTGCACCATTGTGCCCAGCAATAGTACTATCTTTTCAAAGACATCTGAAGGTTTCTTTTTATTTTAAACACAATCATACTGGGTGGAAAAGATAAATAGTGATAAGGCAAAAAGTCACTAGACTAATCTTATGGACAACATTTTACATAGGTCATTCATTTAATATTAACAATAATATCCCTTGCACAAGAAATTTAGAGAGGGTAGGAAATTTGCCAAAAATTCACATAGCTAGTAAGAGAAAAGCCAGGATATATCTAGAGCTCCTGTTCTCTCTCTTTATTGGAACATTTGGGCAGACGGCATCTCCTGAATATTCAAAAATCACCAACATTTAGAAAAAGAATTGCATTTATAAATAAGCTTTGTTTATCCAGAATCCTAACACTTGCAACATGTGTCCATAAAATCTCTATTATCACCATCTGAGACAGGCCATCTGGGGTGGGAGGCATGTGGAAAGAGTCCAGTTATGGGAGCTTTGGAATCTGGATTTACCTTGTATCATCCACTACTTTGGGTAAAGTAATTAGCCTCTCTGAGCCTCCTGGCAGCCTCTGAGGATTGCATGGGATAGCATGTTGATGCACCTAGAGTGTACATTTAAGCACCCTGCAGAAAGTGCCAGAATCTTTAAAATGTTGACACTAATGCGTCAGCAGTGAAACTTATTGCAGAAGTATATACTATTGCTCTTAGAGGTGAATTGTGGGGAACTTAAATCTATGGACCCATAGACGGCAATGAGGGACCTGCCACCCAGTCAGGGAGGTGGAGGCGGGTGGTTTTGTTGAGGTATTCACCTCCAAGGAAGGAAAACTGTAATTAAGATGAAATGTGAGCTCCATAAGATCAGAACAGGAAAGACAACTTCATCAAAGATCTTTGAAATACCGGAGAAGGCGGTGAAAACTGCAGGTGATATTTGTTAACAGTATTGTTTGTCCATTTCAGCTTATCAGTCACTGGGTTCCTGTGTCTTAACTGATAAGAAAAATGGGAGGTTTTTAAAGATTGGGTAGCTGTTGCATTTTGCATAAAGCAACTAGAGAAATGTAGCAAGTTGAGGAAGAAAGAGCTCGAATAGGACTGGAGTCTGGCTGATGGTGAGTGGGTTCAGGCTATTTTTCAAAAGTGCACTTATTTCACAGGAGATAGAACTTTCCAATACAAAGTTAGATTAAACGTAATAATTGCTATGGTTTTTTTTTTTCCTTGTGGGAAAAATTGTATTACCAATGGGAAAACCAAGTTGCAGGTTGATGTAGTCTCTTGAAATCATGTTTGTAGGATATAGAACTTTGGTCTGATGTATTGGAAAAGATCTGGTTGAGGGTAGGGAAGAATGAATGGGTGCTTGCAGCATACATCTAGAATGAGCATATCTCAGAATTAGTATTTTCGGAATTCACTAAAATCCAGAAGTAGTATCTACTCCGAGGGTGGGAAAGGAAAAAGAACCAAGGAAACAAGGGATTGCTAGCCACAGGGGTGAGGGAGTTTCATGGATAAATTGGATAAAATGGATAAATTCCATTTACCAGCAAATGACTAAATTTCATTGTTCTCTGTGGTTGAGTAAAACTTATTGTAAATATATGCTATTTTTAAAAAATCCATTTATCTATTGAAGGACACCTAGGCTGGTTCCTTAACTTGGCTGCTGGGAATTGTGCTGCAATAAACATTGGAATGCACATTTCCCTTAGTATGCTGCTTTTATTTCTTTGGGATAAATACCAAGTAGTGGGAGAATTGGGTTGTATGATGGGTCCATTGCTAGTCTTCTGAGGAACCTCTATACTGCTTTCCATGGTGGCTGTACTGATTTACAATCCCACCAGCAGTGTATTAGTGTACCTTTCCCCCACTTCCTTTCTAGAAACACTCATTATTTGTAATCTCAATGATTGGCATTCTAACTGGTGTGAAATGGAATCTCAGTGTGGTTTTGATTTGCATTTCCCTAATTGCTAAGAATGTTGAACGTTTTAAAATATATTTGTTTGCCATTTGAATTTCTTCTTTTGGGAAAAGTCTATTAAGAACATTTGTCTATTGATTGGGTTATTTGGGATCTTGGTGATAGTTTTTTTTTTTTTTTTTTTTTTTTTTTTTGCTTTCTTTATATATTCTGGATATTGTTTTCTCCAAGGAGTAGCTGGTCATTATTTTCTTCCATTCTGTTAGTGCTCTGTTCATGATTTTGTTTCTTTTGTTATGCAGAAACTTTTTAATTTGATGCCATCTCACTTATTGATTCCTGGTTTTATTTCTTGAGGTTTAGGATTCTTGTTAAGGAAGTTGAAGCCTGTGCCAATATGTTGGAGTATTGACCTTGTATTTTCTTCTAGTAGTTGCAAGGTTTCTGTTCTGATTTCTAGGTTTTTGATCCATTTTGTGTTAATATTTGTTCAGGGTGAGAGATAAGGATCTGTACAGATGGATAGCCGGTTTTCCCAGCCATAATTTGTTAAAAAGGCTATCTCTTCTCCAATGCATGTTTTTGTCTCCTTTGTCAAGGATTAGAAGACTGTATTTGTGTGAATTTGTCTCTGAGTCTTCTATTCTGTTCTATTGGTCTTCATTTCTGTCTTTATGTGTCTCTATGCTGTTCTGGTTACTTTAGTCTGTAGCATAATTTGAGATCAGGTATTGTGATACTTCCAGCATCACTCTTATTGTTCCGAATTTTTTTAGCTATTATGGGCATTTTGTTCTTCCATATAAATTTTAGGATTATTTTTGCTAGTTCTGTAAAGAATGTCATTTGTATTTTGATGGGGATTGCACTAATCCTATAGATTGCTTTTGGTGATGTGGCCATTTTGACAATGTTAATTCTGCCCGTGGAGGTAGCTTCTCTGTAGCTGCAACAGCTCTTTTACCAGATCTTGAGGCAAACTATCGTTGAGCCATTGTCCCAAATCCCCTTATGAACCTTATTATCCCATTTTGGCTATTCCATGGGTAGTATGCAGCAGAAGATGGGGGCTATTTTCTGACAACTAAGGACTGAGGGTGATTCAGACCTGCATTTAATCCCTGCTCTTACACTTATTTGTTGCATGACTGTACATCATTCGCTGAACTTTTTAGATTCTTGGATTTCTTCCCTTTAATTATAGCCTGTTGATGGTTTTGTGGGTGAAGATCAAATGAATATAAAGTGTTCAGTATTATTGTACTGAGCATACAGTAACAACATGTCAGATTTCATTGTTTTTATATTCTTCCTTTTCTACTCTGGGAAATTTTAACTCCTTGTCCTGTAGACAGGCTGAATGTGGAATCATGATGGGAATGTGATAAGGGATGGGGAGTTTCCAACTTGTCTGGCACACATTTTTCCTTAGCACATTTATGATAAAGTAGTAGTAGCTGTCAGTAATCATCCAAGGGAACTCTCCTCCCTGCTAGCCCCTAAGGTGGGTACTTTCTATACACAACATCCTGCCATTCGTATGGTAGTTATGTAAAGTGGGGTGGAAACCAAGATCTGATTGGCTCAGATTCAGTGCTTCAACTGGTGATACTGAGAGCCTTATGGACACACGTGTGGTTGGTTTGAGTCCCCAGGACTGGTTCTGATGTCAGGTGTGACTGAGTCCCAGGTGGGAGGGGATGATGCCCTAATGGAAAACAAAAACAGAATATACATGATGCCCACTAAAATGTAACTGAGATTTAGACAACTGCTTATAACCTCTTCCCAAGGTGAGTAGATAGTTTTGAATTTCAATAACTGCAGACCCTGCCCAAGACCACCCGTCTTTTGACAACTTCCTTAACTGTGATTTAAGGGTGGATGTCAATGGCTAGTTTTGAGCCCATTCTCAGCCGGGAGTCAAGATTTTTCTCTCCCTCCCTCTCAGAAGACTTGTAGTCAAAGTGTGACATAGGCAGCAAGGACTGAGTCCCTGAGCACTGGAGCCTCCAGTCTCTTTGCCCCACTTAACCCAACTGAGGCTGCCAGGGTGGGTTTTATGCCATATAGAAAGGAATGGGATGATACAGGTGCCCCTGGGGCTCCTGATTAGTCTCCCTGCTCCTCACTCTCCCTGCATACTTGGGACCAATCAGCATTTTCTATAAGTCCTCTTCACCTTCAGTCCTTAGTTATCAGAAAATAGCCCCCACCCTCTGCTGCCTGCTTGACTGGAAGAAATCCACAGCGTATCTGAAGGTCACTGAAGGTCTTCACTACACCACCTGAGCCCCAAGCTCTGAAGGGAAGCACAGAGTCTTGATACCTTGATACCCATGTTCAAGATAAGTTTCCTCGGGCTTCACCCCATGAGCCTGGAGGTAAGGACAAAGCAGTCAGATGTGAATTCTCTCATCTCTTTTTGAGCAGGACTATGGTAGCTCTGATCGTAATGTTCAAATTTGCTCTTTTATTTTGAACTGTGATGTCTAAATTTGAGCTGTTTAGTCCCCTGGCAAGTTTCAGTTAGATCATTCCAGATACAGATACCAACTCTTAAAGACCACAGAAATTATGCATTAGAGGAATTCTCTAGGAAAACTGACCCTCATGTGAAGTGATTGACATTAAGATTTTTAAAACTAAGACATTCTTAAATCATGGTGATTACACAAATGACTTTAGAATGAGTTTGGCATCCACTTTTTTTTTTGTACCTGCCCTTATGGAATATATAAATTAGCAGAAAAAGACAATAAGTCCCAGAAATTAGTAAAAGGTATTCATAAAATACTTTAGATGATGGAAGACTTGGGCAGAAAAATAAAGAAATTGAACCCAGAGGTGCTTAACCACTGAGCCACATTTCCAGCGCCCCTCCTCCCTTTTTTATAATTTACTTTGAGACAGGTTCTCACTAAGTTGCTTAGGGCCTCACTAAATTGCTGAAGCTGGCTTTGAACTTGCCATCCAATGCCTCAGCCGCCAGAGCTGCTGGGATTACAGGTGTGCGCCACCACATCTGGGGGGCTCCTGCTTTTATTAAGGGAGTATTTTGAACGAACAAGAAGTTCAATGGAAACATGGAATTTTGGTTTTTGGTTTTCTCTGTCCTTCAGTCTCTGTTTATTATTAATCAGATACACAATTTTTGCCTCAAGCCTGTGAGTCAAATCTCTGGCTAATTTACTTTCATCTTTCTAATAAAAGCATTCTTAAATCTGACAAGGATTCAATTCAGTAAATATATATTTGGAGATGAAATTAATCATTGTGTTTATCTAACATAGTCAATTCATTTATTTTTTTCATTCAAAATATATTTATTGAGGACCATCTGGCTGGGTATATAAGTTTACAAAACAAATATAAATGACGCATAAATCAAGTATTCAGTAATGTTAGAAGGTTGTAAACACCATGGGAAAAACATGGAACAGGGTAAGGAAAATCAGGAAGTGTGTGGTTAGCTGGTGGGTGGTGGGGAGGGGGGCCCTCATTAAAGGGCAGGAGTGAGCCACCACACAGATGCCCAGAAGGGAAAAGCCAAGATGGAGGAAAGAGCCAAAAGGGGTACTCCAAGGTGGGAGCAAGGTTGGGTGTTCAGGAGCAGGGACAGGGAGAGTGCCTTTCTTGTAGCATAAGGGTGAGAAGCCCAGAGAGTCATGAATCAGAGAGCTGGGGGACAGACGGTCACGTAGAACCTTCTTGCTCCTATAAGCAATTTGGCTTTTACTGGGTGAAATGGGAGCTGTGAGGAGAGGAGTAACTTGAAAGGTTCATCTTGGCTTCTGTTATAGAAATCAGTCACAGCAGGCACAAGAAGGACCAAAGGGTCTGGTCTGGAGGTCACTGCAATAATCCAGGTAAGAGATGGTGGTGGCCTGGATCAGCAACAACAGATATACAAAATGGAGAGGTGGCTGAAGTCTCGATATGTTTGGAAAATAATTCACAGGGATCTGTGGCAGTTGGGAGTGGTGGGTTGGAGGAAGAGCGGTACAAGAAAGCCTCCAAGGAATTTGATGTATGTGGCTGAAAAAAGATGGAGTAGCCATTCATCAAGAAGAGAAGCAGTGTTGGAAGAACCGATTTTGGTAGGCAGAAGGAGAATTCTGAGGTTGAGACATCTGGAGTGCAGGCAAGTGAGGGTATCAAGTCAGTACTGGGTACCAGAGT